CTTTAATTACCACTCATATGGACTTGAGAAAAGTACAATAACTCTTTGATTCAGTTTCTTGTTGCGCTGCAGCATCATGCAGAAAAGCATTTTAATCCACGTTCAGGAAACAATCCACTTCGGAATCGACCAAAAGCTGCTATGCTATTATCTAGTATTATGAATATTAAATAGTAATCCCTGCTGTTCAGTTTAAAACTGGTTTGATCTGCTGTTTTGGAGGAAAACATGGTTGGATTATAATATAATCCATCCTAAAGTATGCTATGACTATAAATAGATTTTAGACAGAGAAAACGGAGGTCTGTGCACTTTTTTTACTGCATGCTATGTACAGTCTCTGCTAGTAGAAGGCCATGAATATTAGAGAGAAGTTCTATTTTGCTTGAAATGGAAAACTCAAACCTTTCTTCTGTGGGTTAAATAGCTTCTTAATTATAGTTATTCTATATCTTTCTGTCTTGTTGCTCCCTTGTTTTGGGTTCTATATGTGTATAATAGATGCTACTATTTGTGCGCAAATTGCCTTCTAATATTGAGAATCCTGTCAATGGAGTTCAGTTTGAGCTCTACAACTTTATGTAGACAAACTGGAGGGAAATCTGCCATGTAATGATTTTTCTGAAGCACAAACACTGTTCACGGTTCGGGCACCTAGTAAGGATGCCACCTGGGCGCCTCCCTAGGGAGGTGTTCCAGGCACGTCCAGCTGGGAAGAGACCAAGGGGTAGACCTAGGACCGGGTGGAGGGATTATATCTCTTCGCTGGCCTGGGAGCGCCTTGGGATCCCCCAGTCAGAGCTGGTTGATGTGGCCAGGGAAAAGAAAGTTTGGGGCTCTCTGCTGGAACTGCTACCCCCCGCGACCCACGGATAAGCGGGAGAAGATGGATGGATGGACAAACACTGTGAAATATTTAACTAAAGCACACGTTTGCACAAACACATACTAACTCGCTTTTGTAAAACACTGCCTCAAAACACAAAGAGAGGGAAAGCAATCGATGGAACATTAGCAAGTCACTCCCAAAACCTCAACAGTGTGACATCAGCACCATACAGGGCCAATCTGGCTTGACCTCACACATTACAGTAAATACATACTAACTATAGCACACTTTAACAGGACGTGCCTTTAAATCAGTCACAGCCTAAGCGTCTTTGAGTTTCATGAAAAGTGCTATAAAAGTCCCATATATTATTATTATTATAAGTGTTGTTGGTGTTTTGATATTTGTTTTTTGAAACCACTTCAGTTCCATTTGGTCATAAATGTTTAATTCTTACACTTACTTGCTTGTTTTTATCTCCTTTCTTCTGTAGCTAGCACATATTCACAAGGGTGTAACTCATAGACAGTCAACACCTGGCCTTGTTAATCCATGGCTGCTCACCATCTAGTCATTACATATTCTAAAATATGTTTTAACTAATCCTTAAAAACAACAATCATGTGGGTAAAAAGATGGGCTGACAATACTTTAGTGTGTTTATAAGGTAAGCTTACAAAATAAACTGGTCATAAAGACAACTTATAAGTCCTTTTTTATTACTGAAAATACTCAGATCAGATGTAAAAAATGTATTTCTGAGAGGACTCAAAATTTCGTTTTACACTTTATGTTTTGGTGCAGTAATAATTCAGTGTATTGCCTTAGAATGTCCCCATGCAGTTTAATTTCCAATTAGTTAAATCTCATGTAAAGAAATGAACCATTTCCTAGTGTTTCGTCAGCAACATTTTGAACAAAAACAATTACAGTGAAATTGGCAATTTAACAATAAAACCCAATGTAGTGACTAAAAAACAAGCTGCCACCACAGATTACCAACCACAGCACGGTGCATTGCAGCAAATGTTACACAATGCACTTTCTCTTTGTATTTATAGAGAACCTTGTTGGGAAGAACATCATACCATCAATGGTGGGGTTTTTCCCCTAAAATCCTCATGAGCAAGACATGTTTCGCTATACTTGCTTGCTAAAATGGTGTGTGTGTGTGTGTGTGTGTGTGTGTGTGTGTGTGTGTGTGTGTGTGTGTGTGTGTGTGTGTGTGTGTGTGTGTGTGTGGGGCACAGTCATTCATTACATGTGGACTGTATGGCAATCAGTTATGATCTAGCAAATCATAACAGAATTTAAAATGTGACTGATCAAATAAATAAATATTTATTTGTGTAAATATATCACACTTGCTGAATAAATGATCCAAAGAGATCTCAAATCATATATAATGCATCACCCCCAAACTTTCCACTGCCTTTGGCTTTGCCGTAATTGGGAATATTTCCTGCATCAGACATCCTGCATTATTAGCATCAGCCGTCATATTCATACATATGCACTCACTCCATCGTGTTAACCATAGAGAGTCGTAGTGGTAACACAGTTGTAATATTGACTGACACCTGAGGGTGATGATTGCAGAGTGACAGCTGTGTCAAAGAAAATACATTGTGTGTGTGTGTGTGTGTGTGTGTGTGTGTGTGTGTGTGTGTGTGTGTGTGTGTGTGTGTGTGTGTGTGTGTGTGTGTGTGTGTGTGTGTGTGTGTGTGTGTGTGTGTGTGTGTGTGTGTGTGTGTGTGGAGTGTGTGTGTTCACTGTCGGTGCTGCTCCTCTGCAGCAGAGCGATCATGAAGCTCAGAGCGTCTGCAGGCTGCTCCACCACCAGACTGGACAACATGCTCTGAGGAGACATCGTCACATCGTTACACATGTTGACGAGCTGGCAGTGGTGTGAAGTAGTGGAGTACAAATACTTTGTTACTGTACTGAAGTACCTTTTTCTG